TAATAATCCTGAATAAGGATCAGAGCCATCCCTAAAGTATTCGATTCTTTAGGTTGAAAATCAAAGCATCCACATGAGCAAAGTCTCTTAAAGGGCTGGGCCAATCATTGCTGGCCAATATGCACACAAATACCTTGCATCTCTTCATGGAATCAGACACAAGGGAAGGAATTTCTTTTTTTTTTATAAGATAGCGTGAGAGAGAGGAGAGAGAGAGAGAGAGAATTTTTAATATTTATTTTTTAGTTCTCGGTGGACACAACATCTTTGTTGGTATGTGGTGCTGAGGATCGAACCCGGGCCGCACGCATGCCAGGTGAGCGCGCTACCGCTTGAGCCACATCCCCAGCCCCCAAGGGAAGGAATTTCTTGTGAATTAATCTTGGCCCTTAAGTTTCTTGCACTCTATATCCAAATGAACTGCACAGCCCCTCTGGAGAGAGAAGGATAGTGATGGAAAGGACAGCTTTGCTATGTTTGGGCCACAAGTCCAATAGCTCAAAGTTTCCAATTATGGCAGTGATTACACTGGGAACATTAACTCCATGGGTTCTGTGATAATGCAACATTGACCTCCCTAACAGAGAACCACATATCACTGCATTGTTATCAGCTTTACTCTATTGGAAAGCATTACTTAATTGCTGACTTCATCATAACCCCAGGCATTCATTTTGCTAAATTGTCAACTACTTCCCTTCCCTAGTAGAAGGGTCCCTAATAAGCCTTCACATGATTAAAAGAAGCCTGGCAGCCTGAAATTCCAAAGGAGCTACTGAGCTTGAAGTCTCAGCACCTCTCTTTATTCTTTCCCCACTCTCTCTGCTGCCTGCCTGCTGAACTGAGATTCCAAAGCTTTGAAATTGATTTACCAACCATTTGTAGGCTTCCTGGTAGTGATAAAAGGAAGCTCTGTTCTGTTTTCAGCTGTCACCATGCTTCCTTCTTAATGCTCAGCTATAGATTTTTCTACCAGATATTCATCTGCTGCCCTCCCCAGAGCATGCCACTCTTCTCTTTGCCAGCCAACTAGTATCATCTAGCCTGTAAGGACAGGCTATTAGACTGAGTAGCCCAATAGGGGAGACTGAGGGACAAAATGGCTTCTTGTAGTGCTGTCTTAGGAAGAAAATGGCCCCTGATGTGCATAAACAGCCACCTTGAATGGAGTGTGGATAATTGTCCAATTTAATGGGATTCTCATTAGGGGGAAGGGTAGCATAATGTAGCTTAAGTGAGCCCCAGCCCTGCCCATTCTCTGATTCTGTGGAGATGTTAATCATGCTGCTCCTGGCAAGTCTGTCAGAGCTGAAGCTGATGATGTAACCGATTTTCCAGCAAGCCCTTTGTCTGAATGACTGCAGCACAGCTGCAGAATAGAGCGCCAGGGAGTAGAATGTGTTAATGGAAAAAACGCTTTCCCCAGTTCTTTCTTCCAGACAGATCTTGTCACTGGGAGCTTTGTGTGTTGGTCAGCAAAACTGTTTTGGGGTGTGTGTGTGTGTGTGTGTGTGTGTGTGTGTGTGTGTGCTGGTGGCCAGGCTTATTGCAGGCATTTTTCAAAGTTATGATGGAAAGGGCATTGTTAGGAACACAATAGATACAAATGCTCATACCAAGGTGCTAACCAGACAACATTGGGCTGCTGAGGTTTCTAGGCTTTTTCTGTGTTTAGATGAGAGACTCCATACCATTATTTTGATGAAACTGAATAGATTATATAATGGGTACATATAAAAATGGATATATATATATAATCTGATGTGTGTGTATATATATAATGAAATGCATATAATAAACATATAGCATTTTGACCTCTCTGTGTCATGCATAGAGAAGGAAGTGTAGAGTTGACAGTATGGGAATATGGTCCTTAGAGTCAAACCACTTTCAGATTATATTCTGGACCTTCCAATTATTAGCAGTATGATTTGGGACAAGATACTTATTCCTTCTAAGTCTCTTTTTCCTATCTGTTAAGGAGATCCTACTAACAGTAGGAATGATTAGATGAGATAATTCATACTATTAGCTTAGTTCCTAACAAAATGTAAGCCTTTAACAAACATTAACTTTGTTACTAATATAATTATAATATGTTATTTAAATCTCTCAATTGACTTTGTATGGTAAGCACTATTATGATTCTTATTTTATAGGTAAGAAACTGGTATTTACACAGATTATCTTACCAGAAATCTCACAGATAGCATTGGTCAAGCTGGAATTGGCCTGAAGTTTGTGAATACTAGAGCTGTTAGCCAAAAGGCAGTACAGCCTCAATTACAAAGTGCTGGGGAGCTGAAATGTGCCTGTTTCCCTTTAAGAGATTCTGCTCCTTGGTTACAAATTGGAATCACCTGGAAAAAATCAGTGCCAAACAGTGATTGCCTCTCAAGGGTAGGGATGGATGTTTACTGAAAAGTTGCATGAGAGAATTTGCTCCTTCTTGATATGACTTTGGCATTATCCAGGTTTATACATTTGTCAAAACTCATCAAATTGCACACTTACATTTTGTGTATTTCACTGTGTACGAGTTACCTAGTAAAAGAAAATTTAAACAAACATTGGAGTCTAGTTAATGGCATGCCTTCAGAAGTATTTAAAGGTGAAATGCACTGATGTCTGTAAGCTATTTTGAAATGTATCAAAAATAAGTAGATAGAGGGAGGGATAAAAGGATAAATAATAAATATAGCACATTAAATGTAGAATCTAGGTGGCACAGACTTCACTACATGTTTGAAAATGGTCACTGAAAAATGTTGAAAAGAAATTTGAATCACCTTGAGGAGCTTTTTATAAAATACTGATGTCTGGGTCCCCTCATAGATTCAGAAATGATTAGTCTGGAGTAGGATACAGATATGTTTTTTTTTCAAAAAGTTCCCTAGATGATTCTAACACACAGACAAGGTTGAAAAGCATTGCCAGAGTAAGACTGCTTTTGGTCTGTGAGCTTCCTAATGAGTAATGTTCCTTAGGTCTTCACAAGAAACACTGGGCTCTCAAAGCCAGTTCATAATAAGTAACTCTGGGTTCCAAACTGAAAGTGTTCTGACAGACTATTTCTGAAACTCTAACAGATGACAGGTACAGGTTTGTCAATCCACACCCTAAAGAAAGAATTATCCAGCTCAAAATGTCAGTAGTGCCAAGGTTGAGAAATCCTGCTATAGACCAGTGTCGTTCAAATTTAAAAGTACCTGTGAGTCACATAGGAGTTTTGTTAAAATGGAGATTCTGATTCAGGAAGTGTGACGTGAGGTGAGATTATACATTTCTGACAAGCCCCTAGTGTTGCCCATGCTGCTAATCTATAGCTCACACATTGAGTAACCAGTACATATAACTTCTCTCTCCATCTTTTCACCAAATTCTGCCTGAGTTTTATCCTCTCTAGAATTTACTCTGGGATTGGCTCTTCTGAAAAACTAGGAGTCAATAGCTGACAATAGATTAATATGTTTCTTGGAATTAGTGTATCCCTTAAAGTCTGAAACAGAAGGCAAACATGGATGAGAATTTTAGGAATGAAGCATAATTAAAAAGACAGATGCATTTGTTCTAGGATACCTGTTGGAGGATAGGGCAGCATTTTAATTTTGTAAAATATTTTTTAATTGTTGATAGACCTTTATTTTATTTATTTATTTTTATGTGGTGCTGAGAATTGGACCCAGTGCCTCACACATGCTAGGCAAGTGCACTACCACTGAGCCCCAGCCCCAGCCTGATAGTGCAGCATTTTAAAGCCGAGTTTTCCACAAAAACCAGGTATACTAGACTGGGTTTATGGAAGCAGTCTTATTTATTTTCTTGTCCCTGGTTGCCAGAACAGCACCTGGCTCATAGTAGATGTCCAAAACATATTTGTTGAACCAATTGACAAATTACCCATTGCTCTGAACATAGCTGCTAAAATAACAGAACAAAGGTATCTGCTAAGACAGGAAGGACACTGTCATGGATCCCTGCAAGGCTGGGAAACGATGCACCTCAGCAACTTTTCAGGTGCTCTAAAATTAAAGCATCCTCAGGGGATGCACCCTTCTACCCAACTAATGGATAGCAGCAGGATCAGTTAAAGTGCTTGTTCTCATTCTCCCTTGTTGTAAGTTAGAATCATATACAGCAGGGTGAGTGGGGGGGGGGAAGGTTGTTGGGCACTTGACGTGTCCCTTTTCATTTCTCAGAAAGGAAACTTTGTGTTAAGGACTGAAGACTCAGGCTCTGGAAAAGGAACTGGACTGGAGAAAAAGAGGCATCATCCAGCAGTGCTGGTGTCTTCTGCTGTCAGTGTCCCCTTATCCTCTACCTCTGATGTGATTTAATGTGTGATTTAATCTATCAGCACAAATTTCTGTGTGCCAGCCATATGGCCATCCATGCTCCCAATGTGCCATGTCATGGGCCTGTCTAGGTATCTGGAATCACCTATTTGGGACTATTCCCTTAGATAATTCAGGTTTTCTATTAAAATATATGGGTTTGAGACTGGGGTTCAGAGGTAGAACACATGCTTAGCATGTATGTGGGTTCAATACCTAGCACACAAATAATTTGATTATATGGGTTGCTAGATACAGGGAAAGTAAATAGTTTGGTTGCCCAGGGCTGGGAGGATTAGAGAAAATGGGGAATAACTGCCAAGAGGTAGGAGTTTTTTTTTTTTTTTTTGAGCAAAGAACCTGACTTAAAATTAGTCACAACTCTATGAACATACTAAAACTCATTGAAACATACTTTAAATAAGTGAATTGTATAGTATATGAAGTATATTAAATAAACTGTTATAAATATAAAAATATATGGATTAAGTTAGAGGGTACATATTAACTTAGTGATAACTGGACAAATAATGGAGTCACACATGTTAGGGGGAAAGGGTGAGTCCACCAAAAGTCGGGGGAAACACAGGAACAAAACATACAAGACAGGAATTAGGATTCATCCTACATTTTCAACTCTCCATAAACCCCTTTCTATTCTTTCAGATCGAATTGCAAATAATCTCAGCTGTTATCAAATTGCACACCATTAGATTTTTTTATGCTTGGAAAGACAGGAAATGCTTGAATACCGTAAGTAAAGAAATCCAGGTCCCTTAAGATAAAATAATCATAACATCATTAATAAACCATAGGATCTGACACTACCCAAGGGTTCTGGAAGCTCTTTAAATTAGTTCAGGCATCTTGGACCACTGGTGCTTACTACAGAGAGCTGCATAACTTGAGGCCTGAGAAAATTGGATTTTTTTTCACTGAAATGGAGCCTATGGTTTTGGAAGAGGTGGTGTTAAAACCACAATTCTCTCATATGCCCTGTGGCCAAAGGCTCCAAAGCCACAGAGGGAGAACCCTGTCTCTCCACAGTGGTTTTCCATGAACCCACTGTAATTCCAAGTTGGTATGGAGTATAAATAGCTGGGCCAGGGTCATTTTAATAACCTGTTTAAAGAAATGACAGAGACTAGAACCCAGAATCCCTGCTTCTAAGCCTAAGCTCATATTAGTTGAATACCTAACAAATATGGTTTCAAAGGTGGTAGAACTTTTTCCACCCTCCAACTTGTGACTCAAAATGCCTTGGGAAGAAAAATCGAAAAATTAGGCATTATATAAATGCTCTAAGGAGTAGATCATGATGGTTTGGCTAATTTGGGAAAAAGAAAGACCCCCAAGTGGGGGAAGGGGATGCGAAACAGAAGGTCATGGGTTAACAATGACTTTGTATTTGGTTTCATTTTGCTCTAGGCTTCCCATTTGTGTCTGTGTCTAGAAATTCCTGGACTTATAAATTAAGGACCCAGATTTATAACACCAGCCCCAAAGAACCACTGAGTGCCCATTATTCGTAACCTGTCACTCCTTTAAGTCCTCCTAATGCCAGAAAAACCCAGAACAAAGGAAAGTCTACAGGAAGACAAAGGGAATGGCATTATTAAATATGTGTTTCATAGCAAAGCATTATCTCTATTGGATGCCAATTGGTGGTAGTATTTGGCCAAATGCATTTGTCCAGTGACTGACTCTGGATACAATAAAACCCTAATGTTCAACAAAATATTGTGGAAACTCCTCTGATTGAATTCATCTGATTTTCAGAGGATCATGGGTTATTTTCAAGGCATAATGATATCCTGCAATGCTCCCTTTCCTGCTAAGAAGAGACTTTATCATCTCTCCAGATTTCACACCAGGGTCAGTCTCACTTGGCTCCATTTCCTTGTGTCTGCAGACTTCAAATAATCAGGGAACATCTTGTCAGGAAAAGGCCAGATGGGCAGACAGGGAAGCGATCCAGCCCCTGAGGAAATAAAGTGTTCAGCCTATCTGCTCCCCTATGGCACTGGCAAGTGAGGAGCCAGACAGAGATGCAAGAACGGGTACCTCCAACTTAGTTCAGAGCTGCAGAAACCTGGAGCCAGATGAGCAGTTTTTGGAATTTTGGGAGCAGGAAATTCAAAGTTCCATATTATAAGCTCACACGATGAAATCTAATACCACCCTTCTTATGCTATGGAAATGAACTAAGTCCTTTCCTTGAACTGAACTCTCAGAGTCACAGAACCTCACAAGGCAATTTTTCCTCCCCATACCTTGTGCAAATGGGAAGTAAAGTGAAATATTGAGAACATAGGCATGGCTAGTGATACATGATCTAACTAAATGCTCAAAATGAGGGGCATTCTCATTGCTTTTACATTTGATTCCTAAGAGATACTTTTCTCTGGAGATTATGTGGTAAATAGATTTTAGACTAAAATATTTCAGAATCATATGTGCATCCCCAGCAGGTAGAACATGTGGCAGCATTAAATATTTCCTTAAAGAATAGGCCTGACTTCTGACATTAAACTCTATTTCTTTGAAATATTAGGACACTGAGTTCTCTATTTCTTTCTTTTGTTTTAGTTATAGATGGACACAGTGCCTTTATTTTATTTATTTTTATGTGGTGCTGAGTATTGAACCCAGTGCTTCACACATGGTAGGCAAGCTCTCCACCACCAAGTCACAACCCTAGCCTAGCCCCTGAGGTCTCTATTTCTTGATCTCATCATGCAGGTGCCATCCCTTCTATGACCTATATCTGCCACCTCGATTGACTATGCCCTGGGATCCTGGATAATATCTAGATAAAGCAGACAAGAATGACGGAAGCATTATTAACCAAGCAATCATGCATTTGATTGTTCTGAGAGCTGATCCTGGGGTGAGCTATGGGTGGCTTTCTCTTCTCAGCCTTGACCCCTTGGCCCCATGGCTTTGAACCACAGCTGTGTGTCTGGACTGATTAGTTTCTGCAGTCTTATTAGGTATCTTGATTACTGTCCCTATTCCCTGACCCATGATATGAATATTGGTCCACAGATGTCAGGAGAAGACGCTTGGCTTTTACTGTTAATTGCTTTTGTGGTGATGAGTCAGAGTACAGTTCTGGATTGAGGAATCCCAAACCAACTAATTTAGAAAAGGAAGTCAGAAAGCAAAGCCAGTTTGCCAAAGCCTATGTTGGATTTATACAGACTAGGATCTAAGAATAATAAAACAGACACAATACTCTGGCATTAAGTTTGGAGGCATGGATAGGTTATAAAGATTCATATCATGATGCTGTGATAATTATGTTTTCAACTAATAATTTTCAACCAAGAGCAATTTTCCCCACCAGGGAACACATAACCATGTCCATAGACTTTTGATTATTATATATGTGAGGGTGCTACTGGCACCTAGTGGGTATTGGCCTGGGATGCTATTAAACATATTATGATGCTAAGTACAGCTCTCCACAGCACAGAATTATCTGAATTAAAATGCCAGTAATGCCAAGGTTGATAAATCCTGTATTAAACAAAAAAGGAAGATACAAATTATAGATCACAATTACATAAATTATGAAGATGAAGAAAAGACTGGAAAGTTACACACCACATTAATAATAGTGGATATGCCTGTGGGGCAGATATATGCATTTTTTTTTCTTTTCCTCTGGCTTGTAAACTTTCTAACATAAATATTTTACCTTTAAATGTAAAAATTGTAATTATTTATGTAATATGTTACACATCCCTCTTGCAAATATTACAGTGTTAGAATTAAGACTGAATATCTATTTGATGAACGCTGTTTTTCCCCCCTCAGTCTCCTTCCCAGAGGAGATGAAAAAGTCTGCAGATCCATCCAAGTTTTGTGGATGTGGTTTTTAAAAACTTTATCTATGCATTTACATATATTATGTACAGCTATAGAAAATATTTACTAGTACAACCCTTTTAACAGCTTCAAAGTACTCTGAAGTTTGTCAGTTTTTCTACTGAAGAACATTTAAGTTGCTTCCACTGTGAGGCTATTACAACAAATGCTGCATTGTGGATGTGGCCTTTAAGAGCTTTATCCACGCATTTACACATATATTATGTGCAGCTTTAGAAAATATGTACAGGCACATCCTTTTTAACAGCTGCATGGTACGTGCCTCCTTGAATATGTTTGCAAAGCTATCCTGAAGTGAATGTGGGAATCTAAAACTGCTGGGTTATGGAAAGTGCATATTTAAAATTATGTCAGTTACTACCAATTGACTTCCAAAGCACCCACAAATTTAATTTCCAGACACCCTAACCAACATTTGATAGTTATCTGTGTTTTTTTTTTTTTTACATTTTCCAATTGGGTAGATATAAATAGCACCTTTTTTGTTTTAATTAGCATCTCCTTTGTTACTGATGAGGTTGAGCACCTCTTGATATATTTGTGGAACCTATCATATGGTCTCTTCTGTGAACAGTGGTGTTCACATCCCTTGCTTACATTTAGATTGAGATACCTTTCCAATATTTTTAAGAACAAGCAAACACAGAATCTGGTTTGTATCAAAACAGAAGTGAGCCTACCCAGCTTCTTGCCTATCCTCTCTAGACAGAGCTTGAGCCTCACCAGAACAAAATGACCATTTCCTGCCATTACTAAGAACTCAAGAAAACAAGCTATATTAGAAAACAAATTAGCCAGACCCATTCCCACCACTGCTCCGTGTTTCTCTGGACTGTGAGCCTTTACAATGCCAGCATCTTGACACAAAGCAGCCATCAGGTACTGCCAGTCAGATTCGCTTCAGTTACATACAAATCTGATATGTGGTAAAGCATAAAGGACCATGAAAGGCAGCGTGTGAACTGGATGGTATCTGCAGCCCATGCAAATGGCAATTAGTACCATTAAATTTCACTTAATCTTCATTAAGAACATCTGTTGTCTAGCCCACATGAGAACATGGGGGTGGGTGATTGTGACCACTGCAAGAAGTAGTTTTATCAACTAGTTTTTCCCTACCTTGAGCATAAACTGAAAGAGATGTGGCAAGGAAATTTTATAATATATGACACATATGGCTAAAATATAAAACTAGATGGAAAGCTTCTTTAGATTTTCAGTGTTATTTGAAACTAGGGGACTATGTTCCTTTGTGATGAAGATGGTTAATTTTGTTGTGGTGAATTTCAGGTTCAGCGGAAAGGATTGCAAAGACTCAATCAAAATTCAGTCAGTTTGGATATGGCAAAATTGGGCCATACCAAATCTAGCCTTTCTGTTCCCCTGTAGTCCTTTTGGTTACCCCATTCCATACACCTTCCTACCCTTTTCCCTTGGGGTCATGTGGTCTGCTAGAGGACTATAGATTTAAATCATTACAAATTTCTGCAGACATATTGCCTGTCTGCCACCCTTCCTCTTGCAGGAGCAGGACATCTTCTGCCTGATCACCCTTGTGTTCCTTGGTGGAACAGAGAGCCTAAAAAGCATTTATATCATTTCCAGAAGGGATGTTAGGGGAAGGGCAGAGATTTCTGTACATTGCCCTGAGTGTAAACAGGTTAGGCTTTATTCGATAATCAATTCATTGATGGTCTTTCTTTCTGAGTGAGGAGTTGGGTGGGAATTAAATAGGTAAGTAAGTAGTCTAAATTCTGATCTTTTGTTATACGCACCAAGTACCTCACTTTGGTAGCCTTACCACAGTTGTAATTCCAAAATTTATATGGGTCAATGTCAATCTTCCTTACCAGACTATA